TATGTATAAAATCCAAACAATCCAAATATTTATTTACTTTTTCAACGCTGTCTGTACATTAGTGTTGCAATTTCATTTCTAAACTGGATACCTCGGCGTCGGACTTCACCGTTGTTTGGTTCGGCATATAATTCAGGCATAACTGCTTCTTCTTCTATGTTCATTTCATCAAAATGTTCATCTGGATCGTTCAAAAACTTTGCACAATTATGTAAAATAAATGCACACATAATATATCGACATGTTCTATCTGTTTTAAGTCGGATTGTATAATTCAACATAGGAAATCTTGTTTTTAACTGGCCAAAGCATCTTTCTATAATCACACGTTCTCTTGCATGTATTCTGTTAAAATACTTTTGAATGTTTGTTATGGGATCTTTGAAAGGTGTAAGCATCCAAGGAGTTACACCATATCCAGAATCACCCAAAAGACAAACTCTTTTTTGATTATTATACATAATAGGGTAAATAGGACTATTGTACCATATTCTAGAATCATGAACAGACCCAGGCTAGGAAGCATCAACACTGGTAAACATTTCTCTGCTATTACATGTTGCTTGTACATTTATTGTAGAAACTCCTTTTCTGTTAATATATTCATCGCCATGTACATATGGTTTTATAATTTTCACGTGAGTGCAGTCAATGGCGCCAATGACATGAGGTATTGTATTATGTGCTGCCCATTCATCTTTAGCTCTGTTGAACATAGCTCCCGTAGCAGGGAATTTAACCCACTGATTTTTCTTGCTACAGATTTCACGTGATACCTTATCAATAATTTTTGAAATGGTTGTTTGATGAATCCCAACATCAAGTCCAACGCCTAGCTGAAATCCAGGGTCTCCTGAAATAAAGGATATAAAAATTAGATTATTTATCCTATTTCAGTTATTGAAACATACCTAAGCTTCTTAAAAATACTTCCATTTGTTGGATGTGTGTAAGAGCACCGCCTCGAGTTTCATTTACTTCTGGGAGAAATATATTCGCTAGGTAAGATACGTTTTCTCTACTAAACCTAAAAGAATAAACAATTTTAAAGGTAATTAAAAACAATAATAATATTATTGTTAAATTACCGAAATATTTTATGATATAAAATATCATTATGATAGCGGCGTCTTCCATTATATATTTTTCTGCTGCGTATTCCTTCCATTTTCAAAGAAAACTAAACAAAACTAACCGTAGTATTCTCTCTGAAGTTGCACTTATACCAACTTCGCAAAAGTCAAGCATATACTAAATTCCTCTTCAAATTAGTAGCATCTACTACAAGAAGTAGGTACTTTCAGTAAATACTACTTGATATAGTAAGTTCCGGTAAAACAAAAAGTATCTACTTGAAAATGTAGCTTCTTCTCAGATTTGAAGTACATACTTTGTAGAAAATGCTAATACTTGTAGTATTAGAAGGTACTTCATTTTTATTCATACCACCCAAGAAGGACTACAACTGCGCGTGGATATGAGCGATCAAAGTCAAGAGACAATAAGTGTGTCTGCCACAAAACTTTTTGAAGAGTGGGGGGTAGCAATTTTTCTCAGGGGGGTCCTTAAAATTGCCAAAATTGTACACAAAATCATGCTACATATGCAAATTTTAAGGTACAACTGAATTCTCAAGCGAGAGCCCCCTTGGAACCCCACCGAGGGCAACCATGTCGCTACGCTGTGTGTCACCGTTGTAGGTTCGCGGTCGCTTGCGTGTTTTTGATATTATGAACAGGTGCGTTATACCTAACTCGTTCTAAATTCGGAATCAGATTGTAGGTTTTCAACAATGGGATTTTTGCAACGCTATTCGGAGATTTCTAGATGAGACTTGTCAACGCTGCTCGCTTAGCGAAGTTTGCACGTTGTGCTGGTAACTCGTAACTCCCGCTGTACCATCGTCCGGCGGTAGTACAGGACAGTGACTTTTCAACCAATGCCCCAGAAGCACCACAATCGTACCTAGGCGCGCATCAACCGGTACGATGGACGACGTCTGGCTACCAATACGGTTGATCCCAATTCGCAAATTAATAGATTCTTGCTCTACTTAGCATTTGCTCATGGATCATCAAACATCTATTTTTATATCCTACGCCTTCTGCCGAGGAAGTATGGTTATCGCAAGAAATTTCGTAAATGAGATATGTTTTTTGGATGATATATGGTTAGTGGTTAGAAAGCTTGAATGATGGAGAAATGTTTTCGATACGCGTATTTGGGTTCAACCGAAGGGCGTACCGGTCTAGTTTACTGTTCTTTCTATGCTGTAGCGGTGTCGCGGTGGGCACTGCTGCGTCTGACGCGTCATTCGATGAGATATGGGAAGAGGCAACGTTGCCAGATAGCCGGTATTAGCAGCAGGACAGGAAAAAAATGTCAATAAACCAATTATATGGGCCTGTTTGACTTACTTTATCAGTTCAATTCCTCTGTTCAAAACTAACTTGTGCTAAACTTAATCCTTTATGAACGGATGACGGCGTTGCGTGGGAAGTGCAGTCCACCTACTTGGCCCCATTTCTTCAAGACCGTTAGATAGATAGATAGACATTTATTTCCAACAGGTACATGTGCACCCAATAACAGGAAATGCGTAACATCAAATGAACACTTCGTTTTATGTAAAAGAAAAAATATAACTAATGTTATATAAAAATGAACACTTGAATAATATAAAGAAGATATTTCGAAAAAGTTACATATTAAATGTTATCTGCAAAATAGAACTATAAACTAGCGAGATAGGGGAAAAATTGATGTCACAGCTGTTACATATCAAATTAAAATTGTTACAAATTACCGAAATAGGCGACTTAGCTAAAATGTTGGTTCTAGGGCATTCACAATAAAATACTCTAGAATTTCTGGTGTTGCGTCTGGGCACGGTAAATGGAATTTTACCTAACAAAAATTCACATATTATGTTCCAATGAATGAGTTTGTACAAGAAACTCGTTATTAGAAAGATACGTCGTGTGTTAACAGAAATAGAGTTTGCTTCATTAAGCAGCAAAGAGTAATCAAATCCTCTTTCCGCGAATAAACCAGTTTTCTTAAAATGCATGTATTTCAAAAAATTTCATCTGAACACGTTCTATCTTACTAATGTGTATTGCGCAATGTGGGTACCAAATCAAGATACCATACTCCAACTTGCTACGTACATAACTTATATATAGAATATTTAGTACTGAAATAGAAAATTCTCTAGCGTTCCTCATGATAAATCCCAACATCCCATTAGCCGACGAAGCAGTCGTGTCGATATGAGTTGAAAAAGACATTTTTTGATCAAATATGATTCCTAAGTCATCAATTTGCTCTTGACGCTTAAGTCTAACGTGTCCAAGGTAGTAGTTAAAATTTAAGATGTTTAATTTCCTTGTGAAAGACACAACAAAGCATTTAAGTTAAGATGATTGGCATGACACCATGAAGACACTGTGATAATATCTTGCTGCAAGACAAGGCAGTCATCGATAGTATTGACATAGTTGGATATTTTAAGGTCATCTGCTGCATCTAATAATTTTGAACAGTGCAAGTCAAAAGTTAGATCGTTTATATATAAGATAAATAGTAAGGGTCCTAGATTCGAGCCTTGGAGAACTCCTGAAGTAGGATTTATAAGTGGTAAACGATAGCCTTTACAATCAACATATTGACTCCTGTTAAAAAGATACGAGTTAAACAACGACAAAAGATCTTCAGAGAACCCAAAAAGCTCAGTTTTTTCGATAGGATACCTAAATCAACTCTATCAAATGCCTTTTCCATGTCCATATAAATGACATCAACCTGGCGTCTGTCATCCAAGGTTTCGCAAATGGTTTATGACAAGCAAGCCTGATTAGTGATACATGATTTATTATCGACAATGCCATGCTGATCGATAGACAATGACTCTTTTGTTGCGGCAAAAATAAACGTGTAAAGTATTATTTCAAATAATTTTGTAAAATTACAAGATTCTGAAATAGGCCTATAGTTATCAATTTGCGCTGGGTCACCTTTTTTCAATATCGGAGTAACTCTAGCTAGTTTCCAAGCCTCTGGAAATGAGTTGGACTTCAGAATTAGGTTATAAATGTAAACTAAGGGTTGTAACAACGGCATAATGCAAACTTTAACTGGAAAACTAGGTATCTGATCAGGCCCTATGATCAGTTTATTCTTTAATTTCTTAGACGATGCGACAACATCAGCCTTTGAAATTGACCTAATAACGATAACAGGTAAGTTCAGATATTTATGAGGCAAACTATCAGCTAGGTTAGCATCAGGCATATTATATACATCAGAGAAGTATTGACCAAAGGCATCAACAATATCTTGAGCATTTGTAAAAACACTGTCACCCATTTTCATAGCGCCAGGAATCCTGATATTCCCTTTTTTATTTCAAATGAAACTCCAAAATTGAGACGGATTGTTATTTATATTATTTTCAGCACTTTTGATAAAATTACGATAGTCTCTATTTATTTTTATCATTAGAGAAGACCTAACATTAGCAAATCGGTCTTAACCCTAGAAAGGTTACAGGGGTACTAGAGTACCCCACGTCATCATTTATTTGGCGGTATTTCTCTAATACTAAGGTTGGCAACACTGAGGGTTTAGATATTCTTCTTTGAGGTTATGTTGAACATCTTGACACATGTGCTTATTTATATTTTTTTTTTTTTTTTTTTTTAACGAGGGGGGAATGCATTTACGCACCATACCATAGCACGAGCTACGACGTGTGTGGGGCTCCAGGGTCTTGAAGAGATCACCTAATACCCACTAAACCCTAAACCTCCGCGTGGCCCGACTCATCAGCGTCTCGGTAGACCATGTGTTGTGCGTGACCTGCGGTCTGCTACAACGTCTCCTCATGTTATTTATATGCAAGTTCTGTTACTGAGAAAAAGGTAAGTTGGGGTACTCAAATACCCCAGTAACCATTTGTGATTATAAAGTTTCAATTGTCTATTTTTTTGGTAGCGGAAATGTCTCAAGAGAAACGAGTAAAATATACAGATCCAAATTTTGAGGAAACAGTACCACGTTGGTTTGAGGAAGTCGATAGCGAAGATAAAGAAAATGTTAGTGAATGTGAGGATAATCTCGAAATTCTATCTGAAACCGGTAGTATAATCTCCTTGAACGAAATTTCAGGAAGTGACGATGAGAATAATTTGCAAGCTACGAATATTATTCTTGTAAAGAATGGTTTCAGGTGGAGCATGGACGAACCACCCAAAACTAAAACTGCTTCTCGAAATATAGTAGTAAAAGCGCCTGGAATAAAAGGCAACGCAAAACACATTGCAAATGTATTACAAGCATGGCAAACTCTTTTTCAAACCCCTATGATTGATAGCATTGTAATTTACACAAATTTAGAAATTTCTAGACAAAGAGATAATTACAAGGATGCTAAGTTTGTTGATCCTACTGACTCAGTGGAAATATTAGCTTTGATAGGACTTCTATACATATCAGGTGCTCGAAAAGATGCACATCTATCTATTTGCGAGATGTTTTCCAAACAAAGCTCTAAGATTTATTATTATTATGAGTGAATCTAGATTCAAATTTTTAATAAACTGCTTAAGGTTTGATGACAGAAATGTAAGAAATCGTGAAGATAAATTTTCGCCAATAAGAGAGTTGTGGAATTTATTCATCGCAAATTGCACGGAAAACTATACACCTCATGCATATTGCACAATTGATGAGCAGTTGCTTGGATTCAGAGGACATTGTCCGTTTCGTGTATATATATCACCTAAACTGAACAAATATGGACTTAAAATAGTAACAATTTGTGACAGCAGAACATTTTATATGGTCAGTGCAATTCCGTATACTGGAAAGGAAAACAAGACAGAGAAGAACCTCTTGCGTCACAATTGGTCAAATCATTGACAGCTTCAATTCACGGAACTTTCCGAAATATCACCATGGATATCTGGTTCACCTCAATTAAACTGGCAGATGACATGTTAAGAGATCATAAACTTACAATTGTAGGGACACTTCAACATAACAAAAAGGAGATACCCCAAACATTGCTTCCAAACAGAAGTAAAAATGTTTTGTCCTCACAATTTGCATTTCATGAAAAAAAACTCTGGTTTCATTTCCACCGAAAAGATCAAAATCAGTAATATTAATTTCAACTATGCACTCAACAAAAACAATAAATGAGGAAACAAGGAAACCTGAAATAATTGAATTTTATAATTCAACAAAAGGTGGAGTGGACACCTTTGACTAAATGGTGCATTTTTATAGGGTATCACGAAAAACCAGAAGATGGCCTTTGCGTTTTTTTTTATGGCACGCTTGATCAAGCTGGAATAAATTCTATGGTATTGTTTAAGCTTGCTAGAAAGCAAGAAAAAACTATTCGTAGGAAATTCCTGAATGAACTTGGTATTCAGTTAGCTCAACCGCATCAAAAGAGAAGGCCCAATAAAAACTTACCTGGAGAACTTCAAAAAGATATTGAATACATATTGTGTGTAAATTCAGAACAGCAGAAGCCTTCTACATCAGAATCACCCAAGAAAATTGCTAAAACTAGTAGGTGTTACCTGTGTCCCAGATCATTAGATAGAAAATCCAAAACAAGATGCTCCAAGTGTTCTCAGGCCGTATGTCCAGATCATCAAATTAAAGTATGCGGAAACTGTGTAAAATATTAATGATATATTATATTTTTATTGTATAGTATGCAAATAAAGGTAACTTGAGAGTAAAATATTTTATTGATGTTTTTTCTGATGGGGTATCCGAGAACCCCATGTAACCACCAACGTATGAAAGGTTCATGTTACCATTCCAGGGTTAATAAAAACCTGTCCTATGTTTTTTGTACAACGTATGTGCTGCCTCTTTTTGTCGAACCTCTTTTATTGTTTCTCTAGAAAACCATGGAGGGTACTCACGAGAATTGGAGGTTTTATAAGGAACCGACACTTCAAAAATACTTTTCAGATTGTTTTCAAGCTGCAGAACAGCATCATTAACATCAGTACAGGCAAGAATATTATTCCAGCATATATGTGGAACAAGTTGGTACAGGAGAGGAAAATTGACTTCATATGGGCCTATTTGAATGTCTTTATCAGTTCAATTCCTCTGTTCGTAACTAACTTGTTCTCAGAGTATTTGACTTGTGCTGCACTTAATACTTTATGAACGGATGACGGCGTTGCGTGGGAAGTGCATCAGTCCACCTACTTGGCCCCTTTTTTCAAGACAGTTTACCGAAAGTGATAATATCTGACTTGTGTGTCCTGTTATTCTATAATTAATTTCTTATAACATTTTCGATTCCAGACGCCGCAAAGCATCTCTCAGTTTGCCAAATGATATGTCATTAGGTTTTTCCAATACAGATTATTGCCCTTTTCGGCAGAAATAAAAGGATCAGCCGAAACCACTAACATTCTTCAGCTATACTAACGCAGTCAAAAAGGCTGTATTGCAATTTTTTCGCCGCAATCTCTTTTAATTGACGCACAACATCGAATTGAATCTTTCAGACCGGTTTGCAGAAGTTTTATGGAGCCGGATTCCTGAACGATTAGTTTTTGTCGACCGCCAAAAATTAACCGGTGTAAGATCGTATGTCAATGAACAGACACCGAATACTTGGGCGCATATATGAACTAAAATGAAGGGCATAACTATCGACATGGCAACTCGATTTTTGTTTTTTTTTTGCTCAGCCTAATTTCCTAATTTTAAGTTAGTACAATTTATACGGGTGGTAAAACAGACAAGGACAATAAATATGTAGGTAGCTTGATTAAATTAATGGATTAACAAATTAGGTGACTTGATGTTCATTATCGAAAAACATGCAAGAGTGAGTAGTATACAGGGTGTTTCAGTTTATTGTTGCATAACTTTCAGATTCGATAGAACTTTTAAAATTAATGCATAAAGTCTATATAAACATAGGTCAAAAAATGCGTAGCTTCCGAAATACAGGGTGTTTAAATTTACTTTCTAAAATAGTTTTTTTTAAATATTTCGGACAATATTTGATGTATAACAGTGAAAATTGGTATACAAGGGTTTTTTGGTACGATAAAACGAACCATGGGCATAGTTTTACTGTAGCCGCTAGAGGGCGCTCTCTACTGTACCTGTAGTGTATTAAAATGACCGAAAAAATTTTCTTAGTGCAATTTTTTGCTTTTTGAACAAACAATCTGATTCTTCGCACTTTTCAACATAAAAAAGCTCTCTTATGAAATTTCGTTATAGTTAGCCGTTTATGAGATATTTCTAAGGTTCGATGCATTTTTAATTATTTATGATAAAATAACGTTAAAAAGTCAGTATCTCGATAATTTTTAGAAGTAGGCCTGCAAATATTTTTGAAATTGAAGGCAGAATAACGTTAAACGTCAATTAGTTGACAGTTAGTTTTGTTGTCTGTTGAAACCTGAAACGTTTTTTTGCAATTGTGAATGCACGAAATTTAGTTTCTTTTACCTGTTTTTTTTTGTAAGTTTTATAAAAATACCAATTTTATTCTCCAATCAAGAGCTAGCGGAAATTTATTTTGTGTATAGCTTTGTAAATGGAAACGCAGCAGAAGCAGCCAGAAAATATGCACGAAGATTTCCAAACGGACGACATCCAACTCGCTCAGTATTTGTAAGAGTGCATGGCCAAATAATTGAAAATGGTTTTGGAAATCTCCAAATGGATCAAAACATAAATGTTCGTCAGCGCAGATTAACCCGTATGATTCTGCGTGAGTTTGATAGAGATCCGACCACAAGTGTTAGGAGAGTTTCTGGTGCCTTGGGAATTTCAGCAAGCCATGTTCATCGTGTTCTTAGAAATGACCATAGACGTCCTTACCATTTGCAACCTGTGCAAGGACTACAGCCAGGGGACGGAGAACGAAGAATCACATTTTGTCAGTGGATTCTTGATAGAACTGATAATAATAGGGAGTTTTTAAGTAACGTTCTATGGATCGATGAGTCATGCTTCACTAGACGTGGAGTGGTAAATTTTCATAATCAACATATTTGGTCGCATGAAAATCCGCATGCAGTTCGGGAAAGAAATGTTCAGCATGAATTTAGTGTGAACGTGTGGATTGGTATCTACCGTAATCGACTAGTTGGACCCTACCCTTTGCCTGCAAGGTTAAGGCCCATATCGTCAGTCGTCCCTACAATTGTAGGGCACCTTTATGGCCTCCTTGATTGTCATAGTTTTCTACTTCTCCGTGTCAGCACTCTAAAACATCTATTTGCATCAAGTTGTGCTTGCTTTTGAGTTATATCATGTTTTATTAGCCTGAAATTTCCTACAATTTAAAAAGAAAACATATCTTTACAATAGGAGAGCGCTGACGCTGACACGGGACAAGTGTAATCTAGAAATTTTTGAAGGAGAGAAAGAAGTATGACAATCAAGCAGGCCATAAACGCGCCCTACAATTGTAGGGACGACTGACGATACTGTCCTAAATGATGCGCCCTTCTTGGAATTTTTAAAGGCTGAACATGCAAATATGTGGGATGATGTTATGTTAGATTTAAGAAGATTGGCCTGGTTCCAGCTTGATGGCTGTCCAGCTCATTATTCGAGAATAGTTAGAAACTGACTGGACGAAAATTATCCAGAAAGATGGGTCGACCGTGGAGGACCAGTCGCCTGGCCTCCACGATCCCCTGACCTAAATCCAATAGATTTCTTTGTATGGGGATTTCTAAAAGAAAAAGTATACCAGACTCCCGTAACCACAAGAGATATGCTAATAGATAGAATCCGGGATGCATGTGATGAAATAAGGCCTTATTTGAATAATGCTATACCACGTTCGATCATTCGTAGATGTGAATTGTGAATTGAACAATTGGGTTTACATTTCGAGCAACTACTTTAGATTTTGTATGTTTGTCCTAACTATCCAATAGCATTTTGGTTGTAAATAATTAATTTAATTTGATAAAAATAATATTGGAAAATTAAACAAATTAATATTCTGTTTTTTGTGTTTATTTGGAGTTAGGAATTATTGCTGTGTTTAAAAACACAATCTAAACGATCATCTTAATTACTTATAATGCCCAAATCGAAAATGTAAAAAAAAATATTTTCCCATGAATAATTAAAAATGCATCAAACCTTTAAAATCGAAATATCTCAAAAACGGCTAACTATAACGAAAACTCACAGGTGAGCTTTTTATGTTGAAAAGTGCGAAGAATCAGTTTTTTTATACAAAAAGTAAAAAATTGCACTAAGAAAAAATGTTCGGTCATCTTTTTTATATGCAGAAACAAAAATTTTAGTAACTTTTTTGCGCCTTTCAATTTGTGCAAAACCTCTGTCAGATATGAACGTCCGGCACCCTAGAAATTTTTGGTTTCTTTGGTCATATTTATATGCCGATGCTATTGAATAAATAATTTTACTTTCATCCTGCCCAATGCAGTTGTCGCTCCAGATAATAATTTGTTTCTTTTTTTGAAAGTTTCCTGTGACAAAACCTTAAACAAACAAAAAACAATTTCGTTTCCGCCACGACCCGTGAGTG